CTCATCTATATGATTCGATTTCCGTCATTCTGTTGTCTCTGATGCGGCGTCAGCCGCCGGGGAGAGGATGAAATTGGCTTCCGATTTTTACGTGCACTCAGATACCGGTACGATTTTTTCAGTCCGTCACGTGATTATTGTGGGCAGACAGCACCTCATCTTACCATGCTTAGAATGCTTTCATCACGTATTTCCGTCTAACATTCCCCTCCTCTGAAAAGTGCATTTATTATAATATTCTTCATTCATACGTCAATCTACATGATGTCATATCCAGTAGCGTTCCCTCTTGCAACGAACACGTACGCAATCGACATTTTCGAACAGCCATTTTATTATCCTCTCTTATCCTTCCTTTTTTCCAGATTCCGTGCTTTAAACGATTTTAGCACTAGCCCACTATAGGTAGGGTCTCCTTCCGTGCGGATGAAAGGGCGTGTCAGGCGAGATGGGTTTGGTGTATGCCGCCAAACCTGTTCTCCACCGGTTCTAGACGCGGGTGAGCGAGAGTCGTGTCAAACGACTGATATGAACGAATACAGTCTTGTCCTCGTTCACTCCAACAACTGGTGGAAAACGACCTTGGCGCCGCGCCAAACCCATCGCGCTTGACACGCCCATGCATCCGCAAACAAGATGTAGCTGATTATGGTGGACTTGAGCAACGATTTCATAGGATTACGTTCTTCTCTTTGGTATTTTTTAGCAAACATTTTCTAAAAACGAGCTTATTAATGATTTATTGTTAGTTAGTTTCCTCTGAAACTGCTTCCTTGACAAAAAATCTGCCAGCAAAGAACTGAGAGGGGGGGGGGCAGATGGAGAGAACGCCTGGCCGCGCTTCTGTATCCCTTCCCTTAAAGGCTTAGATTGCATCAGTGGAAACAGTTTCTTTTGTGCGAGATGCTTACATCGTTTGACACGATTAGTTTGCGACAGAAGTGCAGAAAAATGGCAGACAAACCGTCTTCCATGTAGGACAGCTCGTCCGAGTTTTCAAACTATTAAATTGACTCCGTGATTGCTAGATGACCTGGCTGAGGCGCAGTGGATCGGACGAGTTATTTTGGTGGACACGTACCATTACTTGTCATGACGCGTTAGCGGTAATGTAATCGAGCCAAAGGATCGTCTCCCCGTGAGACTATCCTCGACTCTAATCGTCTGCACTCTAGGTCAAAGCTTTTATAAGGAAAGGGACACGAAGGCTGAGTGTCTCTGTAACAAGCAAACTCGTGATTCAGTGCTTCGCGTGTACTTCGTCGCACACATTTTGTTTCGCGGCACGTTTAGTTACTATGAGAAAATACGACGACGAACTTAGGTTCGTTTTGGTATGCTCCACATTTAGTTCAGAACGGGTGAGATCTTCACTTACAAGAGATACATAATATAAATTCCAACAGACTTCGTACGAAAATACAAAGATTTCTAGCGATAACGAACAGCGCCTTTAGGACGAGTGGTACTTCTTTTTTCTTAATAAAATATGATCACGTAGGATTGATGGGATGTTCCTCACATGCAGAACTATCATACTGCTGCTGTTGAAGGGCTCTCATTCCAGCGCCTAAAATGTAATGAACTGTTGATGGGAGGATAAATTTGCTAAAACTGTACTCGAGTCAATTATAAACACGCGTCGTGACTAAAAACACAACGTCTTCGACAAAACCCTTCAGGCTGTTGGCGTGAAAAAGCGTAGAGATCCAGTTACTCAGGCAGTGGTCATAATTCTGTCCTCGGCCTATTTCCATCTTTTCTCATGAGGGGAGGATCGAAAAGGAACGGGACAAAGACGTGCAGTTCTCCGCCACAGTAAGATGTTGCATACGAGATTTGTATGTAATTGTATTTCGTTGAAATAAGAAAGCATCCAGATGATAAAGGCCCCCAAATACTGATTTTTAGATTGAAATTGCTCATACGTAAACCCACAAGCGCCAAAAAAACTGTTCAATTGAAGAAGTAAACGCAACACGTCGAATTCTGCGCTAACCTAACCGAAGGCTGAAATCGTACTTCGCCAGTGAAGGGATTCCGCTTTTCGGGAGAATGCGCGAGATGCGTTTTTAGCGTACGCTGGGTCGACACCTACACTTTTCTAGTCGCTCAAAACGCTGATGCAAAGTATGAGCGCTTTCTAAAAAAATCCGCAGTTCGAAAGAATCGAGTCATCGATCAATTCCCACCATGTCCTTGTTGAGAATTCTCCAGATTAGTATGCTTCTTTTTCGCGACCTCTCCTGGCTTGCTTATAGCCGCAGATCGCTGATTTACTTCATTCGCAATGTCGTGGCGGAGAAAAGGGGGGGGGAGAGTATAAAATCACATGGCTGCTCCCCTAAAGCCATTTGTCGTTTGCACCGGCGCAGTCGAAGGGAGATGATCCCGCAGAGGCGATATAGTTTCCACTGAGCCTGAACCTTGCTTTGAGGAACGGTCACTAACCATAAGGCGCTGCTATTTAGGTGCCGAATGTTCATTTCTCTGCACTAGTCACGTTCAGTTGTACTCTTTGTTGAGATGCTGTTCATCATTTTCTGTTAAACGATCCATCGAACTTTGTCCCGGATTCTTGCTGACAAAGTTTCTTTTCAATCAGAGACCCCCGCCCCTGTGCATTCAGTTTCTCTCCTCATGTTTTTGAAACTGACGTCATTTTCAAATTGCTCTATTTATGCCGAACATTGCAGATGTCTTGATTATCTCGTATGAGAGATGGACGAATGCGATTCAGAAATAGGATCTTCCAATGGCGCATCAGGCCATTCACCGGCTACTATGACGGAAACCTCACCACGAAAAGATGTTGCAATAGATGATGACTGCATATCATTGAAATCACTTTATGAGAAATATAGCGCTCAGCAGAAAGAAATAGAACGGTACGTTCGCCTAAATTAGTTCCACTCAGTGTTCCTGAGCATTGTTCCACTTTCGTGTGTATTGAGATCATAAAAACTGGAACAAGTTTTCGCGCGTCGTTCTGTTTTTCTTTTTTCGCGCGTTTTTCCGTTCCTAGCGCATTCGGCTGAACGAGACCGACACTATCTGGTCTACGGTCGGAAGGGTCTAAGCGCACTTCAAGCGTGGAAAGCTGTATGAATTATTAATAACGGCGAAATTGACTTTAGCATGCCATTAGTCACCGAGTGCGTTCTGCTGCGACTTTTTGAACCAAAATGTCTTTCATGGCGTTTGGGCTTATTCCATTCACTTTGAAGTAGTTCAGAAGTTAAAAGTTTGATTACTGTCAAAACATTTAACAAAAAAAGCTATTGGAGTTGGGCGAAGAGGGTCTAGGCCGCGCCCACTCTGGTCGTTTGGCGTTCTCTAATAAAGCAGTAATAGTTCGCGTTTTGCCCGCTCTAGGCCCATATTCTATAAAACCTCTCGGCGGAAGGGCGAAGGATCCCTAGAAAGCACTGACCGCGACCAAATCGACCACATTGCGAAGGGTTAACGAAGTCTTGGGGGAGGGATCATTATTTGGGCGCAGACGAGCAAAATGAGGACGAGCTGCGTGTCGCTGATGTGTGCCCCCTTAGGAACAGCTGCAAAATGCGGAGAACCCCATATGAACTTGAAAATCGGTGAGCCTAATGAAAGGGCTTAAAGACGAGACTATTGAGCACTGCGTCAGGGATTATTCGCTTGCGAAGCGAATTATTAAGATAATCTACAGTTCAACAGTGTTTTTAGCGCATGAATAAGGAAAGTAACTGGCTTCAGCAGCTTCGGATGTAATTAGTGGATTGTTCAAGTATTAGTGCCGACAGTGCCATCCTGTCCATCCCTCAGGGAATGATTAATCGAAAGGCGGGCTCGTCGAACGTTAGTTGAAAGGATGGTGCAGAAGGGAGATGCGTAGAGCTCCATAAAATTTGCCCCAGTCGATGGTTTGCTTAGTTCTTAAATTTCCATCCATCCTCATTTTCTTTTTCGGCCACTCTTCAATTGAGTTCAAAATAGCGTGATCGATTTAGGTTATAAAGTGTTTCTTGCAGCGCTCTCCATTGTATTTCTAGTGAAAATGTAGTTTTGGATTTTTTCTGAAGTTTTTTCAACGTTCGTAATCAAGAAGTATTGATTTTATAATCTTCGTATTTAGGTTAGAAGAGCAGAATGCGGAATACCGTGAAAAATTGTTGAGAACGATCCGTGAACGTGACTTAAATGAAGAGCTTCTGCGCAACGTGCGTGATGGCCAGAAGAAAGAGATGTCAGAGTTCGAAAAACGTATACGTGACTATGAAATACAGTTGAAAACTGTGCAGGTGAGTTATTCTCTACTTGACCCGTTTTCGCCTACGATTTTGATATGCTTTTACTTTGTCGTACATTATTCCTTTACGTTTTTTCCTTTCGTTCAACTTTTTTTTGAAGTTACATGTTAACTTCATTCGGCTAATTTTTCGGCTTGTCGTTTCAAGTGACAATTGTGATTTGTTGAATGTTAAGAGTCTCGAGTGTGGACCAGGTTTTTTTCTTAAAGCACGTTTATACTGTGGTCCGGTCGCGCGATCCGTAGCTGGGACGCGAAGTATGAACGCGCTCTTAGAATCACTCCCCCTGTGAAATGGGGTGATATCGAGGAAAAAATTTGGTAGGGTCGTAGTTAGCAAATGTTTTTCACAAAGTGACGATGAGCCTGACTCACAATAACACGATTAAAATTAGAAACCAAGTTATGGATTCTCTAAGGCTGTGCTTTTGGATAAATCCCCTACTCACCTAGTTCATACTCTAACTACAGCATAAGGCCTCGTTTACATCACTTATTACAGGATCGAGCTGCATCTCAAGAAGCCCATTATAGCGCGGCTATGAAGGATCTTTCACAAAAGTACAACACTTCAGTTAGCCAGGTAGGTTTTTCCTTTTTCCAATAATCTTGAATATTTCCCGAACATAAATTCTTTTTCAGTTAACTAAAAAGGCAGACATAGCTGAAAAGGAGAAAAATGATGCAGTTATAAAGTATGCTACGAGAGAAGCTGAGATAATGCGTATGCGAAACGAAATCCAAAAGAAGGAGCAGGAACTCGTCGAATGCCAAAAGACAAAGGATGAGCTGCAGCATAATCAAAGCCAGGAGAACATTGAGCAATTGGTAAATTGGAGATCTTCCCAAAGCAGTTTTTTTTTGTTTAGTCAGAATTTTGTTCGAGCCACCGAATTTTGTTAAGGAAAAAGCAAACCAAAGTCTACGGGTAGAACTGGAACAGGTCAAACATGAAAAATTCGATTTGGAGAACAAGTTGAAAATGGCAGAGAAGCGAGCAGAGGTTTGGAATTTATTTAGTTATTTCTCAAAACATATCATTTTATGTCATTGCTACTTTTATCCTTAGAAGGAACCCATGATTTGAATCTTTTCGGTAATAAATCAAGGAAGTTGCATAGGGCATCCTGACAAAGTGCGAATTCCGCAGACACCAACTACGCCAATCATTCCTCAGGGATTGTCAGTTGCTATATTAAAACTGTCTACGAAGATGAAAACTGGCAACGAAGTCGTCTTCTGAAGCTCTTTTCCACTATTGCTTTGCTCCTTCGTAGTTCCTTTACCTGAGATTTCTTAAACGGTTTCAAGTTTAGAAACAGGTTCCGTTTTCTGAAATGCAAAAGCCCCTTATTGTGGGAGCGTAGCAAGTCCTCGGCTAGGTCATCCAGACACAATGGGTTTTTACCAAATACCGAGATCATTAAAGAGGTTGCAAGCCTTACTTTCAGTATGAGTGAGGGTGTAAGGTTCATCAGCTGTTCTAAGGTTTTCTCCTTTAGATGCCGCAGTAGAACCTATTTTAAAGTGTTATTTTTCGAAAATTCCAACTTTTTCGAGTTATACATTCGGAAATTTGTTTGGCTCACTAGCACTCGTTGAAATGCAGTGATCTGAAAATCTAGTTGAGCAAAACAAAACCAAACAATGACAGTGACTTAATTAGACATTTTCACCCCACACAGTGAGATATACCGCTTGCGGGTTGATGGTAACCTGACCTATCGGGAGACTCGCACGACTCCTTTATTGCACAATGCAGAGCGGTCCACCATCGAGCATGCTGCACTTTTGCGACTCGAGAGTGCTTGATAAGAATGCCACGGCTGAGCGACCATGAGCTAGCTCAGCCTCCATGAGCTGAATCCACCCTTGTTATCTCCTCCTTACATAGCGGTGGAATCTTGTTCATCTACGCTTTGCTAGCCATTCCATGGTCTGCTTCTCTTTTCTAATCTCACTCCCTCTGTGCAGCAAACTCATGTGCTGCTCAGGGCCAAGGCGGTTCTAATTTTGAGTGTTCGACGTTTTGCTTGTTTTCTTTCTTCGTTTATATCCCACTTACACCATGCTCGACTGATTCCCAGGCCCTTAAAGTGCAAATGGCGATTGCGAGCGCTACATTTGAGTAGGACACTGCACTTTTCAAGAACATTTTCCGATAAAGCCGGACGTTTTTCAGGATCAGACAACTGTATGTTTTTTACAGCATTTGATTTGGAAGTGTCCGGCGTAATTCGCTTTCTGTCCAGTTTGGGTTGAAACCGCTGAATTTCGTTTGAAAAAATCCCATCAGGTTGTAAAGAGGACAGTTTTAAATGGGGGTGGCACATGTATAAATAATCACGGATGTATCAAATGAGCTATCCTGACAGCTCATTTACCCACCCGAATGCGTGTTTATTCAGGCGTGCAGTACCACATCACTTGATCTCAAACAACAGTGCGATGTTCTTCGAAAGCAGCTCATCCAGATGAAAGAGGAGAAGTCTCAACTTCAGGAAGAGAACCGTCAACTGTCCTTGAAAACACAGGTATGATCTACTGATGGAAATTATTGATTACTTCCTAACGCCTTCCATCCTATCAGATCCTTCTGACCATCTTCACAGTTTTTTTTTCCGAAGCTGACCCCCACGGTTGATCGGCAGCTCGGAATATTCCGATGTTTTGTCTCAGCGATCCGTGGAAAATCATAAGAAAAGGCAGCTCAAGGTTGGACAATGTCCCGTTATGGAATTGTCCTTCGTAGTTTGCGCACAAATGCCGTCCCTCAGGCTGCGTTCATACATTGCGTTAGCGTTTCGAGCAACGGGAAGATTATAATTACCGATGTACCGTACGGCAGCGTTTTGAGCGTCCGCAAGCGTTTCGAGGACAAGGAAAGTGTAGATATCGATCGTTTTGAGCGCTTTCGTGGGTCGCTGAAAACGCTCACGCAAAGTATAAATGCAGCCTTATATGTTCTATAGGAAGGGCACCGGCTAATCAAGATCATAAATGTTGGGAAAACGGACCAAACTAGTAAGTGATCGTCCTGGTGGTAGCCTATGGTGGTGAAATAAAGATACTCTTAGGGTAATTGATGGTTCGAGTTCAGATCCAAGAATCCCGACGCATGCACGAATCGGAAGAGTTGAGCCGTTCACAACAAGACATGGAACGACGGCTAACCGAGGTCAACACTCAGTGTGCTCGTCTCAGTGAAGCAAATCGTGAGGCAAATGCAAGGCTTGAAGAGGTGTCACGGTGAGTTCACCACTAATTCACCCACGTTATGGCGCTGTTTGGCTTACGGGGGGGGAGGGGGGGTGGCATCTCGCTTTCTCGCTAGATCATTTTGTTCGTTCATGTTTTCTGGTCCCTGTGATGAGACCTGCAATAAACTTTTGTGAAGCTCGGAAATTGTAGAAGTGAGCCACACTGGCTACAAAATTTTTTAGGTCTTCACAAGGTGGCCCGCGCAAGCTACAAAATTTTTTATGTCTTCACAAGGTGGCCCGCGCAAGCTAAGTACCATTTGGTGCCCCCCACTAACCCGAACCGCGCTCGCATTCTTTTGACCTTTGGTCGTTGCCGGCTTGTTTTTGTTCAGCAGTTCGTTTTGAAATCATTCGAAATGAATTTTGATATATGCCGATGGACATCACATCGTTTCCTCTGTTCCTTCCCATCAGCATCTCCCATCAAAGATCTTTTTCCAGTGAAAATATCGACCTCATGAACAAACTGCAAGATCTCGAGGATAAACTGTCACTCGAAGAGGAAGCTCATGCAGCTGCATCAATTGAGATCTCAAGACTACAGGGCATCGAAAATCAGATTTTGAGGTGAGTCACTGGTTGATTATAACCTTCATTTATGGTAACACCCTAAAAATACGGCACGCACCTTCCTGTTCCTGAAATCCTAAAGGCTTTCTCTTCCTAAATGTCAGTTTTTCTGTACTGTAAAATAATTTTTTAGCAGCCAGAAACAAGCGCAGCGAGCGAAAGACGCCCAAGAGCAGGCAGAGAAGGAACGAGAGGTTTGTATTCATTTGAATAGCTATTTTCCTTAGTAAACCTGAGCTTTTTCAGGTTGCTGAGAATGAAGCCGAAGAATGCCGCCAACAAGCCGAAAGAATGTTAGCCATTACTGAACAACTCACGGAGCGAAACAGTCAGCTAGCTGGGGATGTGGCCGCTGAGAGGGAGAAGGTTAGATAGAAGATAGAATGAATTTGAAGGCAGGTTCCACTGTGATGTTATGGGCGGAAACTCTCAGTCATTACAATTTCCACGTTGGCGCACTCCCCGCGCCTTCTGAAGACCGAGCACCCCTTC